GACGGGGTTTCACCATGTTGACCAGGATGGTCTTGATCTCTTGACCTCGTGATCCACCCGCCTCGGCCTCCCAAAGTGCTGGGATTACAGGCTTGAGCCACCACGCCTGGCCCATAACCTAACTATTAATTTATTCCAGGGCTAAAAAATGTGGCTAGTGAGGTACCTTACGCCTGTAAATCCCAGCATTTTGGAAGGCCAAGGCAGGCAGATCGCATGAGCTCAGAAGTTTGAGACCAGCCTGGGCAACATGGTGAAGCCCTATCTGCTAAAAATACAAAAACTAGCCAGGCATGGTGGTGCATGCCTGTAGTCCCAGCTCGTTGGGAGGCTAAGGTAGGAGGATCCCTTGAGCCTAGGAGGTCAAAGCTGCAGTGAGCTCAGGTCAAGCCACTGTACTTTGGCCTGGGCAAAAGAGCAAAACTCTGTCTCAAAAAAAAGAAAAGAAAAGAAAAATACTTGGGGGGTATGTGTGTCTGTATGTTTAATACATTGGTACAAGTTTCCTACTAAAATTGTCCATCAGTATCAATGGGGAATTGGTTCCAGGGCCTTCTGTGGATACCAGAATCCAGATGAGCTCTATATTTTATATAAAATGGTGTAGTATTTGCATATAACCTGTGTACATCCTCCTGTATGCTTTAAATTATTTTTAGAATTCTTAAAATACCTAATATAATGTAAATAGTTGAATACTGTATTGTTTAGGAAATAAGGCCAAGATAAACGTCTATATATGTTCAACACAGTTTTGTTTTTTAATTATTATTACGGTCCCAGATTGGTCTAATTCATTAATGCAGATAGGGAGGGCCAACTGTGTTATGTTTGGAAGTTTTACAATTTTTTTTATAGATGTGCTTTGGATTAAAATTTTTTTCTTATAGTCTTCATTAGGTTTTGGTATCCCAGCTTTGAAATATGAGTTGGGAACTCCCCTCAAGAATAGTTACTTTCCCCTATACTCTGGAATCATTTTCTTTATATATTCTGGAATAATTGTTTTACATTGGGGTTGTTGGTCCTTAGAATGTTTAGTAGAATTTAGTGTTTTCTTCGTAGATAGATTTGTGACAGTTGATTCAATTTATTTGATTATTTTAGTATTAGTGACATTTTTTTCTTTATTCTGTTTTGCTAAATTATATTAATCTAGATTAACAGATTATATATTAATAATTTAGCAAAAAATCTGCATTAATCTATTAATATCAATTAATAACAATTTGGGAGGGTGCATTAAACTGTTCAATTGTATTGGCCGGGTGCCGTGGCTGACTCCCTGTAATCCCAACAGTGTGGACAGCCGAGGCAGGCAGATCACTTAAGGCCAGGAGTAAGAGACCAGCCTGGCCAGCGTGGAGAAACTCCATCTCTACTAAAAATACAATAACTAGCTGGGTATGGTGGCATGTGCCTGTAGTCCCAGCTACTCAGGTGGCTAAGTACAAGAATTGCTTGAACCCAGGAGGCAGAAGATGCAGTGAACAGAGATCATGCCACTGCACTCCAGCCCGAATGACAAAGACTCTGTCTCAAAAAAGAAAAAAAAAAATTTCTGCATACTCCTTCTTCAAAACTTCTCGAATCAATGTTTAAGTTTTCATTAAAAATTAAAAAATAATTTTGTAACAAAAAAAAAAAAAAAAAAAAAAAAAAAAAGTACATAATATCTTCTATGCCTTTTAAAACTTCTGCTGTATTTATGTCCCATTTTAAGTTTCTGTTGGGGATATTTGACCTCTTTCATTTAATTTTGCTAGAGCTGTCTGTTTTTTTAGTTTTTTCAAAGAACCAACTTTTGTACTTTCTGATACTCATATATTTTAAAATTTATTTCCTTCCTAATACTTTAAGTTGCTTAGCTCTTCAGTATTAGCCTTCTAATACAAGCATTTGAGGCTATGCATTTTCTACTAAGCATCACTTTAGTGGCATTCCACAAACATAGAGAGAGATATATATTATTTTTAAATATCCTTTTCTTCATTGTCTCTCGGGGTCCAGATATTTTTCTCAACTATTTGAATAACTTGGATAAAGGACTGTCATCAAAATCTATTCATTTAAGAACTATTTGAACACAGGCAAAGCACTGTGCCAGATGGCATTGTGCCACATAAATGAGCATGATTACATCCCTGAAAGAGCTTCTAGTCAAGTGGTGATATGAAAAAAATACCTTCAGATAATTTTCAATTTAATGACAACTGGAAGTAAATGTGTAGTAGGTTTTAAAGGAACTCAGCTTTAAACCTAAAACAAAAGAGGATTAACATTCAGCTAAAAAACTAAATGACTTCATCATGGTTAATACACACACATACATTTTGAGACAGTCTCACTCTGTTGCCCAGGCTGGAATGCAGTGGTGCAATTTCAGCTCACTGCAACCTCCACTTCCTGGGCTCAAGCGATCCTCTCACCTCAGCCTCATGAATAGCTGGGATTACAGGAGTGCACCACCATGCCTGGCTAATCTTTGCATTTTTTTGTAAAGATGAGGTTTTGCCATGTTGCCCAGGCTGGTCTCAAACTCCTGGGCTCAAGTGATCTGCCTGCCTCGACCTCCCAAAATGCTGGAATTACAGGCATGAGCCACCACGCCTGGCCTGTATTGTGTGTGTGTATTTAAGCCCACATTTATAGTGTGTTGTGTCATCAAGCCCACATATATATAGTGTGTGTGTATGTGTGTATGCCATTAAATCCACAAACTATGCCAGAATTAATCTCTTGATAACATGCTATTTTTCCTAGGTGTGAAGATGCCTTAAGAAAAAATAAGAGCTTAATTGGGCCAGATCAAAAGGAGTATCAAAGGGAACTGGAGAGAAACTATCATCGCCTTAAAGAGGCCCTACAGCCACTGATCAACAGAAAGATCCCTCAGTTATACAAGGCAGTATTACCTGTTACCTGCCACAGGTATGTTTATTTTTACATGGTTTTAGATATTCTTTCCTCTGAACCCTAAAATGTTCAACTAGTATAAGTTTTTTTTACAGCTCAAGTATCTCCTATCTGAAAAGCTTAGGACCAGAAGTGTTTGGGGCTTCAGATTTCTTTTTCAGACTTTGGAATATTCACATTATATTTACTGGTTGAGTATCCCTAATCCAAAAAATCTGAAATGCTCCAATGAGTATTTCCTTTGAGTATCATGTCAGCACTTTAAAAGTTTCTGATATTAGAACATTTAAGATTTTTGGATTAGGGATACTCAACCTGTATCATCTATAATGATTCTACAAGGTAAGTAACTTGAAAATCAAAAGGTTGGTACTCATATGAACCAGGACACCACACAAAGTCCTGTCATTAACTTGGAATTTTCTGCAACTAAATTCTAGTTCTATTATTTAAGCAGATAATTTTTTTAGATTTATTCTCTGTATAATGAGATAGAACTTAAAGAGGTTGTTGTGGAGATTAAATGACATTTCAGATGTAAAGTTCCTAGGACAGTGCCTGACATTTCACTTTATAGCACCAGAATTCTGGAAAGGACACAAAAACTGCAAAAAGTAAACTTTCTTGCATTTTGAAATCAAATTTACATACTAGTATTGAAGATGGTTTCCTCAAAATTCCCAGTAGGAAACACTAATCCCCTCCACTTTTGGTTTCCCCTTAAGTCTTTTTGGAAGTTTTTCCTTCTTGCTGCTTCCACCCGCCCTCTCCCAGTCTTATACTTACCACGTCAGAGATCCCAGAGAGCCAGGGTGCTGAGTCCCTGAGATAGAGCTGCCTAATCCTTGTCTCAGTTCCTTCAGATCTCCAACTCTTTTCCATTGGAAAGGCTGTATTCTTCCCGAAGGAAACTTTGCCTTATACTTTGCCTTGTAAGTTTTGCCTTTCTCTATGATCTGCTTTTTGGCCGGTCCTCCAAGCTTTAGTTCCTAATATTTGTAGGCAGTTTTGTGGAATTTAGAAGGAAACCTTTTACTGATGAATACTATCTAGCTTTCAAGACTGCTGTTTCCCTTCAAAGCAAGCTTTGAGGTTTGAAGCCTATGTGATTTCTCTGTACTTGCCTTTTCCTTTCCTGGAGATATTAAGCTTCTTAATATGGCTTAACCTTAATGGCAGGAAGGATAAGCAAAAGAAACCAACTGATAACAGAAAATACATTAAGTGTATTCCAGGACTATCATTCCCTTCACTCTTGTTTAGAATTTAAGTTTTAAATTCTTCTTTAGGATTTGAATTTTTAATTTTGCCGGTTTTATGAAATCAGGAATATTTTGCAGAAGGGATCCTGGACCCATGAGAGGAGAGTCCCTAAGATCCTTTAAAGAATTTCCCTAAGTCAAAACTAATTTCATATTAATGCCAAATATTAGCCTTTTCTCACTTCTTCTCTTGTGAGGGTACAGTGGAGTTTTCTACAGATTGGAAAAGACTGACTATAGAATCAGATGTAAGAACATAGGCCTTATATTAAGCGACACTCTTACGTGAGTACCACTCTCCTAAAGCTTCTTGCAAGTCATTTTTAATAAGCAATGCTATATATAGTAACATGTAATGGATTATTTTATAGTAACTTAAGATTTTCTTAATTTTAATTTCTAATATGATAAACATCCACATATAGCCCACATAAAAGATTCCTGGGGTTCTCAATAATGTTTAAGAGTGTAAAAAGGACCTAAAACAAAATTTGAGAACAACTGGTTTAAGACTTAAATTTAATATTTAAAGAAACACCTGCCTTTTGACATTGAAAAACTCCACACTTTTCCTGAAATCTCTCATTATCCCTTAAGTCCATATCTTGTTTATTACAGTATCTGCAGCATTAGTTGGAGAAATGAATACAACCAACCAGTAAGTGGTGACTATAAACCACTCTATAGAGAAATATGTAAGCCAAAATATGTAAGGCAGAGTATGTAGGATGAGCATCCAACTTGGAAGTTAGTAAGAAATGGTGGCAAAACTTTGAGGTAACTAGCAGAAAAAAAAAGCATGTAAGACATTTTAAAGGTATATGCAAAAATTGTTTCCTTATAACTATGTCCTCTTTTTCCCAGAGATTCCTTCAGTCGAATGAGCCTTCGCAAAATGGATCTCTAAACCCAATGCACTTGTTTTATTCATCTGGAAAGAGCCATGTATTCAACATTGAGTGTGAAAATATCTATTGGAAAACAACATGGAATGGAATTCTGGAAATTAATTATTCATTGAATAATACAGTGACCAAGAAAATATCAAATGTAGATTTACATTTGAGAATCATGGCTATGGTCTCTAATGTTCTGGTAACAAGCTGTTATCGTTTAAGACATTTTAATGACTCAAAGGTACACTATACATTTATCATTATTTATACCATAGCTAACGTTAAATTTATTTACTTTAAGTTCATATTTTTTAATTTATATTACCATTTATAGATTCATTTTGGAACCATTTTAAATGTAGTAATGCTTATTTTAAAGGTACTATTAAATATGTGAATGTTTACACTAATTTTACTGAGTGGGACTTTAAAATTTTTATTTATTGACAATGGCAGAGAACAATTTAAGGGTTGACTCAAGAACTAGTTCCAAACCTAGCAAAATAAAAATCATAGCCCCAAATCAAATGAGTTTGGTAACTGGTTTCTACATTATTTTCTATTTACATACCCAAAAAAGGAAATCAGAATTGCAGAACTTAGTAAAACTTTTCTCTAAAATAATTTAAATACTGGGATAACTAGTATCAGTGACAACAGCTTGACATTATGATTAAATCTTATTATACCAGTGATAGTACTATGGACTTCATGACCCTTGGCAACTAAAATGATTGATTCCCATGTTTCAAATTAAAGCCAGACATCAGCTTTTAATGATGCAAACCAGTAAAATAGAATCTGCTTAAAGCTATTTGGTAGCACCATGAACATAACACAGCCTGAGTTTGAGAGAAGTCACATATTTTCTGACACTATAGTAGAGAGTTTAGAAGCATATAAAAAGTAAAATTCGCTGCTTTAATTAACTAATTCTAAAATTATATGAAAAAGTCATGCAGAAAAAAGAAACTGAGAAGTAGCATTTTAATTTCTCGGGAAGTTATTCCAAAACAGTGACAGTGTGTATTAATGATTTCCAGAACAGTTTAGACCAATAATTTTTGGGTAGTAATGCAGCTTACAGAATGGCATCATTTATAATCCCTTTCTTCTACTAACCAGTTACATGAATCATTTAAGAACAAGGAGGCCGGGTGCAGTGGCTCACGCCTGTAATCCCAACACTTTGGGAGGCTGAGGCGGGTGGATCACAGGGTCAGGAGTTCAAGACCAGCCTGGCCAAGATGGTGAAACCCCATCTGTACTAAAACTACAAAAATTAGCCAGGCACGGTGGTAGGAGCCTGTAATCCCAGCTACTCAGGACGCCGAGGAAGGAGAATCACTTGAACCTGGACAGCAGAGGTTGCAGTGAGCCAACATAAGAGCCACTGCACTCTAGCCTGGGCGACAGAGACTCCATCTCAAAAAAAAAAAAAAAAAAAAAATGAATCAGATTGGCTGGGTGCAGTGGCTCAGGCCTATAATCCCAGCACTCGGAGGCCAAGGCAGGTGGATCATGAGGGCAGGAGTTCGAGAACAGCTTGGCCAATATGGCAAAACCCAATCTCTACTAAAAATACAAAAATAAGCCAGGCATGGTGGTGTACACCTGTAATCCGAGCTACTTGGGTGGCTGAGGCATGAGAATCACTGGAACCTGGGAGGTGGAGGTTGCAGTGAGCCAAGATTGCGCCACCGCACTTCAGCCTGGGAAACACAGCAAGACTCTAAAACAAAAAAACAAGAACTGGTCAGATTTAATGTAGTGCCTTCATTCTATAGTCAGTGTAGTAGATATTCAAAAATATGATACTCAAGAATATCTGAGAGCCTAAGTGATGATGGTTGATATCCCACACTCCATGTGACTTTAATGGGCAGTATTATCTCAAATTCTTATCTACATCAATTCAAAGACTGAATCACAAAAAGGTTTTTCAGATATCTACATTGTTGGACCAAATCTGAGTCAGACAGCATAACCTCAAAACTGTATTGGAACCAAATGAACAATAAGGAAAGGTAAGGAGTCAAGAATGGAAACCCCTCCCCCACCAAAAGTGACATTTTTCCCTTCTTTGGGGGGCAGCGGTGGGTATGGACATAAGGGAGAGAATAAGGAACCCTTTAAGGGTCACTTCTCATTAGGTTACATTTATGTAAGAGCTTGGAGAAAAATCTCACACATCTCAGTAACAGTATCAAGGACTTTATGATGTGTATGGTTATGATTTAATTATCCTGCAAAACCAATTATTTTCTGACATGCTTCAGAAGAGGCTTCCTCTTAAACATTCATATGATACTGAATACTGCCTGACTTCTTACAAACTTCATTTTTCTTAAAATGCAACTTTCCCACATCAGGAATTTGTATTACTTAACATTGGGCCTCTAATACTCAAGAGACAGCCATTGTCTATCCTAGGCCCATTCCATTCAAAATTTATGGGTAGTGCTCAGGGCTGTTTAAGAATTTCCATTAGTGATTCTGAAAGGTGGGGAGAACCATCATTTTATTATCATCTCACTATCCTATGGAAGAATGTAAGACATTATGTAACTGATTTTTTTTAGTTGATGAAGGTACTCATTGTTGAAATGTATTTTAGTGTTATCCCAATAGCATTTATATATTTAGAATCATTTCTAGGAAAAACTCTCTTAGTACCAAGAATGTCCCTTAACAAGTCACGAAATAATTCATCACTTACCAATTCAGCATACCATTTTAAAATGAAATTTTAACCAAGTTTTTATGTGTACCCCAAGTATCATCTTAAGTTTTCCAGTTTTGGATTCCATTAAATCGTGTCTACCTTAAAGGACAATTAGATGCAACAAATTTCATTATAAATCTCTTTTAAGTATAACAGCATGGATGGACTAAGCAGTTTCTCCTCTTTGAAAAACTCTTCTCCTTCACTGTCAGAAAGTATTCAGTAATAAAGGTAATTATGCATATTTATTCTCATATATATATATACACACACTTAATCTCTTTAAGAAAATTCAGCTGTATTTATAAAAATATACAAGTAAAAAAATTCAAATATTCATATACATAGTTGTTAAACAGTTTAAATTTTATTGACCTCCCAGTTTTTAAAAAAAGTTAAGGTCACACCTCTAAATTTGATGTACTATATACAGATCGTGCAGAATATGAGTTAAAGAGATACAAATTAGTCCATGCCCAAAAAGATATACTAGAGTACAGAATCATCTTCATAAATACATATAAAATTCTTGTGAAGATAGACAGAAGGGAACTGTCCAGTTTTTCTGAGACACTTTTCTAAGTGATTCAAGGCACAAAATGTACAACATTGTGAATACACACATTCTAGACTTTGTGCCCCTGACACAGCCCAAATATTTAGCTTCATGACTCTTGTAAAACTAAATGTACTGAATGAGATTCTGCTTCTTGGGTGAAAAACCACAGGACCTATAAACATCATGTAGATAATTACTCCAAAATATGGAGAATACAAATACAAGCACTTTATTTTAAAAAGCAAACACAAAAGATTGGTGTAAATCCAAAAGTGTTTAAATGCTTCCGTTTTGGATAATTTAATTAAGAACCTATACAAGTTTGTTCCCAGAAGCTAACGCATCACTAGTCTCTACTGAGGAAAATGAATTCTAAAAATTAACATGGTTTTCAGTAATTCAAATTTTCACTATTTATAGAAAAACCTAGAGAGACCAATAATACCCAATAGCTTCAAAAGATAAGCTAAAGACTCTTTGATGTAACCAACTTTACCAGTATTTGTGTGGGTATGTTTAAATATACACAAGGAAAATACACTCACTCTATAATTTCTTATAAAATAGCAAGTAAGGAGTAGAAGTAGGAGATGTAGAAGGGGAAAGAGAATTCAGAAAGTCCTTCTCTTCAGTAACTTTCACTTCAGAATCATCAAAAAGCAACCACTTCCCCTCATATTCTTTCAAGCTTTGCACTACATAGGAAATTTTATTCTCAAATCCACTAATACTAATGCCTGTTTGGTCACTGGATTCCTTGTTTCTATCCGATTCATGGGTCCCATTAGCATCGTTAGTCTCAGAATTTCTATTTTCAGCAAATGCTGTGCTGGCAACCTTATCAGGATTAGAGGCTTTGTTGTATAACTCATAATCTGCTTTACTCTTTTGTCCTCCAAGAAGTCCAATAGCTTCTACATTCTTTTTGTTCAAAACTTTACTTGGCTGTGTATTTCCACCAACTCTAATTGACACTTCTTCATCATCGAAATTCTCAACCACACCCCTTGCTTCCTCCTCATTCAATGGTTCTGGCTTACCTATTTCACACATTTGGTCAACCACAAAATTTCCTTTATCTAGTTCTAAACTATTAAGGTCAGTGACTTTAACAGAAGCAGTGTAATGCCCACTACTAATTGTAATGCCACTATGCATCACAACCGCAAATAATCCATAGCTGTCGTTAGTTGGCTTTGTGCTCCATTCTTCTAGTGACAATTTAAGAGGTGTCAATAAAGGAGTGTTGATCTTGGAAAGTCCACCACCATAACAATCAAACCTTTGGGAGGAAAAAAAGAAAAGATTTCCTGCAGTTCCATTTTAAATTGAAAATGTTATACCCCAATCTGAAACCAAGTAAAAATCTGAATAAACCCTTAATATTCAGTGCTCATATGAACAATCAGAAAAGCAGAAAACGTTTAGACCTCATCCTTCAGTAATATTTATAATACATGCAGAAACAAAAAAATACTGAAGTAACTTCTAATATTCAGGCATTTCTGTGGAGATAAAGTATTTTTTCCTTTATTTTCCTAATTTTGTGCAGTAAGAAAAGAAATGGTATTTTAAATAGACTGAACATGAACCCAAAATGTTACATTTTAGTTTTTGTGTGTAGTTTTGTTGTTTTTGTTTTTTTCCAAGACAGTTTGTCACCCAGGCTGAGGGCAGTGGTACAATCATGGCTAATCACAGCCTCCGGGGCTCAAGTGATCCTCCCACCTCAGCCTCCAGAGTAGCTGGGACCACAAGTGCACGCCACCACACTGGGCTAGTTTGTGTATTTTTTTTTTGTAGAGACAGGGTTTTGTTATGTTGCCCGTGCTGGGATTACTAGGTGTGAGCCACCCATGCCCAGTCCATTTTAGTCATTTTTAGTGTGAACTTTTTCTCTACCAACATTTAGGAAAGTAAATAAAATTGTATTTTTACTATTAGCAAAGGGAAGGTCCACTGAATAAGGGGCTATATGTCATTTTCAGACATAATCAAGTGTGAGAGAGCTAAGAGAGCTACTGGGAAGCTCTCATGGTAATTTCAAACAAGCAACTAATGTACAAAGGAGTCACATATACAATGACATGCATGTCAGAAAAACAGACTATCCAAAAACAATTAGCAATTTTTTTCAAACTGTTCAAAGACTAGTTTGATTTCCTGCTTTACCTTAAAACTAGGAAAAATTTAGCCTTTCCCACCCCTTCAAAAAAATCTTGATGTATACAAAATTTGTTCCCT